AGGATGTCCATTATAGCAGGGTGTCCGAAGACGAGAGTTGACCATACTTATCTCTCTGCTCCAGCCTTTAAGGATTGATTGTATCAAGAAAAGTGCCATTTTTGATTTCTGGACTTCAAAATGACAAAAATAAAAAATCAAGGAGTAAATGTACCAGAGGGGTATTTTGCAGAATGCCGAATAGCCCTGAACACTGAATGGCTGCTGAGCACTGGATGATTCTGAAATTTAGGATTTAGGGTTGGAAAACTGAATGAAGTTACTTCCAGTTCAGTTCTGAATTATATCCCTTACTGGAACTTGAGTCACTCAATTTTCTAACCCAGATCATTAAACTTCAGGGTCCTTTGGTATTCAGCAGCCATTCAACATTTCCCAGAATGTTGCTGTTGGTTTGATGTGTATACATGCAAAGACTCAAGAGAAACCACTTAGTTTTAGTAATACCTGATATTACCTTCACAGACTTTACCTGTCTTCCGTGTGGGATTACTTTCTTAGGAACATGGCAGCACCTCCCAGACACAGCAAAGAATATGGTCGACCTGTTGCAGGGTCTAAAACTGAAGCTCGTGGAAAATATGCTGGTGCTCACATAAGTCAGGAGGTAAAAGCACTGTGCAATGTCATCTTGCAAATGGGTGATGAACAGCCTGATGGAACAGTCACAGTTACATTTGGACGATTATTTGAAAGATACACTAGAATTTCCAACAAAGTTGTTGGTATGTTGCTCAGAGCTCGGAAGCAAAATTTAGTTGACTTTGAGGGTGAAATGTTATTTCAAAGACGGGATGACAATGTTGTCATTACTTTGCTGCGCATGCCTGAAGACATCCAGAATGATTCTGATGAATACTGGAATATCTCTGCTAAATAGGTAATTTTGATGCTAGATGATACCAATCTCTCTTGATGATATATAATAATTTAGTAAAATCCAACTAGTGGTCTATTATCAATGCTGTGTTCTGATTGGTTGAGCTACTACTAGGCTTTATGTTATATTAGCCCACTAGTAGCGTGCTCATTCTAGTTTGGTTTGAAAGATCTCTTCATTCTGCAAAAGTTAGCGTTCAAAGTTCAGTTCTTGACCATTAAAACTGATGACGTCACCGGCGGTAGAAAGCACAAAGAGAAATAAAGAAATTATTGTTTTGTAGGTGTCTTTATATCTGAAATAGAACTGAAATGGCCTAACTTTAGACCAAAATAACCCCAAATCTAAAAATAAATGCAAGAATGATTTGATCTACTTCATACACGCGGGAAAAAACTGGTGCCTAGTCATGAAAGGCAGGCGTTGGAGGATAAACAAAAATTGCAAATGAAGACTTTTAGTGAACTTGCAGAGTGTTTAGCACGGATTTCACCTAAAATAACTTTGTATAGACGTCTTTTTAAATACAATTACGTGGGACGCCTTCTGCTTTAAATGTTTAGTACTGATTTGCTGTTTGCAATCAAAAGGGATGCGTATATCTTCAAGGAAACAGGATGATTTTGTAGGTTTCCGAAGCCTCAGAAGCTCGACAACTTGGCGATGGTTGGAGAAAAGCGGCAAACATGTTGGCCCAAACTTCACAATGAAACCGAATACGAAAGCCAGCTCACTGCAATTCTGTAAAACAGAAATAAAAAACGAATATTGGTGGCAAGAATAAAAGAAATAAGCGACGGATATATTTCCTACTTGTCAACAGAAGAGACCTCTGCCATTACACAAAACTGGTCAAGTCTAGAGCGGGTGAAAGATCCATTCACGAGGCTCATTCATTCATGTCAGTGTCATTTTATACATATCTGTGTATATATGTATGTACTATCTTTGGATGATATTAATTCTGTCCCTTTGGAGTGAATTGTTAGAGGTACGTTGGCAGAGCTTAGCAAAAATCTTTTGATTTCTTCGTCATTGCGAAATAAAATAATTTTGTCAAAATTAGAAGCTGTAGTGTGTGAATCTTATTACTTGCTGTTTGCCTGGTCTCCTTTAGGGCATATTTATCTCGGAGGGCTCTTGGTAAAAAAGTAGTATAAAGCTCACATTTTACTAGGTTAAACTTTTAAGGCAATGTTTGTGTCAGGACTGAACACAGCAAGCTTCTTTTTCGAATCATTTAATTTGGGTCTGGATCCGTTTAAGAAGACCATCATTTTATTTCTTTATGTATTCTTCACTTTTAAAATATTATGGCACATAAAGTTAAAACTCTTAACAGCCAAAGATAAGAAATACGAAAATTACTCGCTGAAATGATATGTGGCCGGCTTCCCGAGTCTGCTGAGTGACACGATGAAATTTTGAGCGTACTCCACTCGATCGCTCCTGCATTACTACTAACAAATAGTTCTAATTGATGTCCTTCATCGATAAAGACCAGAGAATAATGTCCTGGTAAACAAAAACCAAACATAACTTTACGGAAACCTCAGTCACTGCTTCTTTCCTGTCTTCGTTTTTTCCATCTCGACTTGAACTGTTTTGTTCAATGGCAGACGTCTCTTGGGTTAACAAGTAGGCCATATATCCGTCGCTTATTTCTTTTTTTCTTGCCACCAAGATTTGTTTACCGGTATATTTCTGTTTTACGAATTGCAGTGAGCTCGCTTTCGTAATCGGTTTCAAAGTGAAGTTTGGGCCAACATGTTTGCCGCTTTTCTCCAGCCATCGCCGACTTGTCGAGCTTCTGATGCTTCGGAAACCTACAAAATCATCCTGGTTCCTTGAACATATCCGGTCCGCGTCCCTTTTGATTTCAAACAGCAAATCAATACTAAACATTAAAACTAGAAGACATCCCAGGTAATTGTATTTAAAAAGAAGTCTGAACAAAGTTATTTTTGGTGGAATCCGTGCTAAACACTTTGCAAGTTCACTGAAAGTCTTCATTTGCAATTTTTGTTTATCCTCCAACGCCTCGCTTTCATGATTGGGCACCAGTTTCTTCCCGCGTGTCCGTCATTTGTGAATATGGTGTATAGCATTTCAAAGCCGTTCAATAAACTCATAGTTTGTGTTTTATCAGGTGTTGATATATATGAATAAGACTCTGAGCAGTTGCTTACGAGAGCTTAAAAACAAAGGAAGAGTTCAGTTGTGTAATCCAGAAAGTAGTTGGGGTTGCTGACAGGAGCAGTCGCTTAGGAGAGGTTTTCATTACAAGTTTAAGTCACAGTTCAAACAGGGTTTCACAAAGGAAGTCGTTACTAGAGCTGGTCGCTTACGAGAATGTTCGCAAGGAGAGCTGTGACTCTAGTACCATCACTGCTTTCCTGGCTATGGGGGGTGATTTACTCAGTACAATGAAATGCTGCAAAGTTTCTATGTGGCAGCAAAGAAGTAATGCCAGCATCAGGCAACAGGACATGATCTCTCACTTATAAGTTGCATAAAGGGTTTTGAAAAATATACAGTCAACTCTCTTTATAGCTGAAACCATAGGGACTTCTAGTTAGTGTCCTTATTAGTGCGAGTCTGTAATAGCGGAAGTCAGTTTCAGTCAAACGTCTGCAATTTATCTTTGTGTGTGTTTTAGCTGTTTTCCCGTATTATCAGGATGTCCATTATAGCAGGGTGTCCGAAGACGAGAGTTGACCATACTTATCTCTCTGCTCCAGCCTTTAAGGATTGATTGTATCAAGAAAAGTGCCATTTTTGATTTCTGGACTTCAAAATGACAAAAATCAAAAATCAAGGAGTAAATGTACCAGAGGGGTATTTTGCAGAATGCCGAATAGCCCGGAACACTGAATGGCTGCTGAGTACTGGATGATTCTGAAATTTAGGATTTAGGGTTGGAAAACTGAATGAAGTTACTTCCAGTTCAGTTCTGAATTATATCCCTTACTGGAACTTGAGTCACTCAATTTTCTAACCCAGATCATTAAACTTCAGGGTCCTTTGGTATTCAGCAGCCATTCAACATTTCCCAGAATGTTGCTGTTGGTTTGATGTGTATACATGCAAAGACTCAAGAGAAACCACTTAGTTTTAGTAATACCTGATATTACCTTCACAGACTTTACCTGTCTTCCGTGTGGGATTACTTTCTTAGGAACATGGCAGCACCTCCCAGACACAGCAAAGAATATGGTCGACCTGTTGCAGGGTCTAAAACTGAAGCTCGTGGAAAATATGCTGGTGCTCACATAAGTCAGGAGGTAAAAGCACTGTGCAATGTCATCTTGCAAATGGGTGATGAACAGCCTGATGGAACAGTCACAGTTACATTTGGACGATTATTTGAAAGATACACTAGAATTTCCAACAAAGTTGTTGGTATGTTGCTCAGAGCTCGGAAGCAAAATTTAGTTGACTTTGAGGGTGAAATGTTATTTCAAAGACGAGATGACAATGTTGTCATTACTTTGCTGTGCATGCCTGAAGACATCCAGAATGATTCTGATGAATACTGGAATATCTCTGCTAAATAGGTAATTTTGATGGTAGATGATACCAATCTCTCTTGATGATATATAATAATTTAGTAAAATCCAACTAGTGGTCTATTATCAATGCTGTGTTCTGATTGGTTGAGCTACTACTAGGCTTTATGTTATATTAGCCCACTAGTAGCGTTAAAGCGCTGGCTTTGAAAACCAAAGCAATGGCGGCTGAATCATGTTTTGCTTGCTAGAGTTGTTTTGTCTCGATATTTTTGACCAACTAGTTGGATTTTACCAAAACAATTTTTCCTCTCGTCCTCATGGCCTCTGAGTTTTTTTTTTTTTAATTCAATATATATCCAGGGGCATCCAATTTAGCAGAGCTAGTTTAAATGGAGCCCAATAGCCTATTCAGACTTCGGCCTCATGGGCTATTGACTCAGAGCCCGTTCGGTCTTAAGAATAATTGTGAAATATTTTATAATATTTTTATAGATATAGTAATAATTATATTTTCAAAATCTATTTACTTGGTGCAAAGCACATAGAGAAGTCATGCATAGTAACCGACTTCAACCTATTATAACCTAGAGCCTAAGAAAGGTACCCCTTTTGGGCGGTGCCTCCTTGTATGGGCCATCCTACTTTATTTGTAGAATCATTATTTGAAGCTAAAATAGTCCTTTTGTTGACTTGGTTCAAGGAAAGAAGTGTGGTGACCCACTCTGTGTTGGCGCTATTAAACTGGTCTGACAGACAGGGCAACCCACCTCTGCAGTTCACCCCTCCTATTATTTAAACGTGATCAAATTAAAATGAGAGATTTCATTTACAGACAGGCATATTAGTTTACGCCACATGAGCACTGCTTACCTCACCTACTTGGAGTCCCCCACTTTCATGTAAATAGGCCATAAAATGCATGAAAATGTTTTTGATGGTATCCTGTCTATCTTAATGGTTGTGCTCAGTAAGAAATAAGGCTTAAGCCCTTTACTTAAACGTAATATTATGAGAAAGATGTTTTTTCAGTCAGTGACACAAGCAGCTTAGGAAAAAAATCTGGGCTGTGTACCCCCAATAGGTGTTGAACCTATGACCTTCTAGTTACTAGTTCAGATGCTTTACCACTAAGCTACAAGAGACTAGTGGGAGCAAAGGCCACTTAACCAGGTTCAGGTGATAAACAACCTGCATACTGCTAGGACTGGAATGTTGCAATATGTGCTTATGCACAATGATGGAAATAAGATGGTGAATTTTGAACCAGGTGAATAAAGTGTAACCCGGTTAATACAGACACCAAGAAGACATGCCATAGCATCTGTATTAACTGGATGTCTATATTAAGCGGGCTACCAGAGAAAATCATCACAGGCAGTATTTTTACAGATGTACTAAAGGAGACATATACATTTCAGAGAAATCGTTGTTCTTGCCTGTAATTGTGAAAAATTCATCCTAACTAACCTTTAATGCAATCATTCATCATACCTTCAGGCTAACATTACCTTAGTTTGCTTATTTTTCTTGAAACACGACATTGAAAAGCGTTTATTGCGACTCCCCCAGGCGAAGTTAATGTTAACCAGAACTTTTGAAAGGTCTTTCGCTGTTTCTATTAGGTTTTCGCTGGTAAGATATTCAGTCATAGAAAGTGTGCAATTAACTAATGTCCGTAAAGCAGGGTTGATGATATATGAGAGGGTTCCACTGTACATGAGAAAGATGATTTTCAGTTAGTGTCAAAAGGGACTTGGAAGAAAGGAGTCGAACCTACATAATGTGTGTATAAATGACCTTGTGGTTACTGGTCTAGATACTTTGCCACTTAGACTTGCTACAAGTCGACCTCTTGGTGAGCGGAGCGAGCCTTGTTTGGCCGCGAAGCGGCCGACCGCGAGCGACGAAGTCGCGAGAGGTCGACTTGTCTCGCTTGATGGGTTTTCATTCGCATTTCGCGCCAAAAATGGGGAGTGGTGTGACTCTCATTTGGAGTTTCAGGTTTCATTTGCGAGTCCTTGACTTCAATGGCAGAATGTGCTGATTCCACTCCGACTAAATCTATTGAACGTGTGTGTGCATCTCCATCATCGAAGGAGCAAATTTGTTTACTTTGTGCGAAAGTTGTCTCTAACAATGATTTTAGGCGAACGTTGACGAGCTCAGGGGGGCGGAAAAAAACAAAAACTTGTTTCAATCTCGAGTCAATACTGGGAAAGGAGATTTCACAACCAAGGAATCCTTAACATCCGCACACATTTTTAAACCTACAGAGACTTTTCAATACACGCATTTCTCTTCCTGTAACCCTCACGGAGTCAGAAAAGGTCTCATAAAGCGCGAAGCCATTAGACTCCTGAGAACTAACTCCTCAGCTAAATCCTTCTATAAAAACATCTACAACTTCAAAAAACGCCTTAGCGCTAGAGGTTTATACCCTCACAATCTCACAGAAAAAATCACCTCTGAGGTAAAATTTACCGAACGGAAGTCAGCTTTACAAAAGAACAATGAAGTGCGAAAGAAAATTTTGCCTTTCGTTACCACATACCACCCTGCTTTGCAGAACCTTAAAAACATTTTAATGAGCAAATGGCACTTAATTCAAGATCAACCACTACTGAGAGAAATATACAACGAGCCTCCCATCATTTCATGTAAAAGAGCACAATCGCTGGGCGATATCCTCGTTAGAGCAGAACTATAAGGTCACGTATCACACTATCACCAGCTTATGAGTCGTGTTTGGCCATTCAACACCTTCCACTTCGCAATCGACCTCAAGTCACGTTGTGAGTGACAGGTTTATCCCCAAGGGTCCTTGGGAGCTACTCTGATTGGTCCAAGCGCACCGACCCGTTTTTGGGTTGGTAATTGGCGCTAATCAAGTATGAAAAGTCCTTCGTCCCGCGCCATATGAAATCCGACGAAGGACTTTTGGAAAGTCTATTTGCCACTAAGCAATGGGAGACTTGTGGGAGCAGAGACTAGTAAACTACAACAGGTTTTTGTAACAAACGTCTTCTATATTGTTAGGAGTAAAATATCAATATGTGCAAGAGAGAATAATGGAACATAGACGGAAATGCCCAGTATAGCCCTTGGGATAATTAAGTGAATTTCACCAGGGTAATTTTTAGACCAATTTAATGCTTGAAATTAATCAGAGGTTTGTTTTTGGAGAGGCATTGTCTAGAGAGAATAATGAGGCATAATGCTCGCTTCGAGTGTCACCATTACAATATTCTGCTTTATTTCCTTTGAGGCAGTTGCGATGGACTTGATGACGTTTCAAGAATCAATTAAAAAGTGCGGATGTCCCAGGAATAAGATTTTCCATTTAATTACTTCCTCTGAAAATAACTTAATTGAAATTCACATATCCCGGTCACCGCCCCAAAATTCCCTCTCTGTCCAATTATTTTCTCTTGATATGCTCTTATGCCAACATTTTTTGCCCCCCAGTACTTAATAACCATTCCTTTACAGCCGAAAACGCCTTCCAATTAACAAGTTTCCTAGTGAGCGACTTATCACTTAGGTTTAGAGATAAGCTTGTAAAATTGTTTCTTTCCGTCACTGAAAACATAATCGCAGAATGTTAAATTTCCAAGATCTATAAACTGTGGAATCATTACCAATTTAAGACCCTAGATATAAAATATATTGCAGTTAAGGTGTTAAGCAAAATATTCAGATATTTTAGTTAAGGCCAAATATAATAAAGTGCAAAAATGACTAAGCTTACAAAAATAATATAATCAAAGAACAGCCAGCTGTTGGGACGGATAGCATCAAAGCGTTCCTCCTGCTCCTTGGCTTCTGTAAGTTTTCTTAAGCCCTGGTGAATTAAAGCTAAGTTCCTATAACTCTTTGCAACCTCAATATGCTCTTCATCAAGTTTATGGAGCTGAATACTAAGAGCACGTTCCTGGTACTCCTTGGCTTTGTTAAGGTCGCCTGAGTCAACGTAAATTAAAGCAAAGTTACTGTAGCTCTTTGCAACGTCGACATGTTCTCTACCAAGTTTCTTGGATTGAATATCAAGAGCACGTTGTTGATACTCCTTTGCCTTCTTTAGATCACCTAAGTCTCGGTGAAATAAAGCTAAGTTGCTGTAGTCCTTCGCAACAGATAAATGTTCGGAGTCAAGCTTCTTGAGGTCAATATTAAGAGCAAGTTGCTGGTACTCCTTACCTTGCTCAAGATCACCTAAGTCTTGATGAATTAAAGCTAGGTTAGTGTAGCTCTTTGCGACATCAACATGTTCCGGGCCAAGTTTCTTAAGCTCAATATCAAGAGCAAACTGCTGGTATTCCTTGGCTTTCTTGAAGTCACCTAAATCCCTGTGCATTAACGCTAAGTGACTGTAACTCGTTGCAACTGCAACATGTTCGGGGCCAAGTTTTTCGTACTCAATAGAAAGGGCACGCTGCTGACAATCCAAAGCTTGTTCAAGGTCACCAAGGTCCTGAAGAATTGAAGCCAAATTACTGTAGCTAGTTGCAACATCAACATGTTCAGGGCCAAAATGTTTAACCTCAATATCAAGAGCATGCTGCTGATACTTCTTGGCTACCTTAAGTTCACCTAAGTCCTGACAAATTGAAGCAAAGTTGCTGTAGCTTGCCGCAACAGCAATATCGTCGGGACCAAGTATCCTCTCCTCAATATCAAGAGCACTTTTTTGTAACCCTATGGCTTCTTTAAGGTTACCTAAGGCCTGCTGAATTGAAGCTAAGCTATAGTAGCTTTCTGCAACATCAACATGGTCCTCGCCAAGTCCGTTGAGACGAATAGATAGAGCAAGTTGCTGATATTCCAGGGCTTTCTCAAGGTCACCTCGGTCTTGGTAAATTGAAGCTAAGTTACTGTAGCTCGTTGCCACATCAACATGATTTTCACCATGTTTCTCGAGCTGAATTGCAAGAGCACTTTGCTGATATTCGAGGGCTTCCTCAATGTTACCTAACCCCTGTTCAGTTAAAGCTAAGTAGACTTTGGTGGTTGCTATATTGATGTGGTTGGGCTCTGGCTCACTCAGCTCAATTGTGAGTGCATGTTCAAAGTACTTTTTAGCCTCTTTGAATTCAGAATGTGTGCCACAAACATCTCCAAGGTTTTTAAATTTCTCTGCTGACAAACTTGGAACCTGATCTTGACCGTCGTGTAAAAGGAAGTTATCAACTTCCATAATTAAGGCTTTTAAATGAGGGACAATGTGTATGGTTTTCAGTGTCTTACTCTCTTGGAAGGTATGAATTATAAATTTGTGGAATGAGGAAACAGCGCCATTGATTGTCTCGAGGTTTCGACGTTTTTGTTGGTCGTTAATCAAAGTTTTGTTAACTTGGTATACAATCTGATGAACACGAATAAAATCGCCTTCAAAAATCAGAAGTGAGCATCTCCTGAGGCTCATGCGAATACGAGCCCTGTCCGTTTCATTAACGCGTCCGTCTAGGCAGTTAATAATGTAATCAACTATTATGTCCACCTTTAATGGTTGCGGTGCGCAGAGAGAAAGAAACGTAAAAAAATGTTTAACAAATTCGTCAGAGTTAATCAGTTTTTGGACGGCTAGTGTTATTGCTTTGGTCATTGTGTATGGGTAAACGAAGTTGGTTTCAGCAAGGATCTCCTCGGTAGTTCCTCGCTTGCCTTCTTTTAAAATTTTCAGGTATTCTAACCAGCCAAAATCTCCTAATGGTTTATCTTGACGAATTTCCTTGACGAAGACGGCAGCGGCTGCTAAAGCAAGAGGCTGAAAGTCCAGTTCTTCTGCTACTTTTTTGCTCCACGGCTCACTGTTGAGGATCCCAGAAATTTCGGCTAACAAGGTAATCGCATCACCGGGCTTCATACCTTTGCTGACTGAGATGTGTTTGATGCAAGAGTTCTCTGATGGGATAGATGACGTATCCTGGGTTGTAATTAACAACTGACCATTTGCCCACGTTTCGTCTCCAGCTTGTGGCAGGTGAACGTGTACAGAAGACAGGTTAGTGACGTTGTCAACCACCAACAGCCATGGCTTGTAACAGGCAATTTTTGCAGCAATAAGCATCTTAAGATTGGCGATTTTTTCCTTAATGTCATCATCCTCGGAACCGAGGGTTTTTGTAACTGAATCGTCTGGGCATTTCACCTGGCGAGCAAATGAAACGTATGACTCTAATAGTGAATTTAGCGTTTCAGCATTTAACGTCATCACAAATGAAGAAGCACTGGGCATTTCTTTGACTTGGTCATAGAATCTCTTGGCTACAAGGCCAGCTAGCTGTGATTTTCCACTTCCAGGATTACCTGAGATGTATAGATATCTCAGTCCGTTGTCACTGGACTTTTTAAGCTCCCCCAGCTTTTGGGCTATGATTTCATCTACCTCGTGAGCACGACGTCCTATGACATGTGGAGGTTTCGGAGGGAGTATACAGAATGAAGGTGCTTCTTTCTGAAGTTGATCTGCAAGGACCTGTCGATGACCCTCTGTTTCTTTAAGTTCCTTTTTAAGATCTTCAACTTTTTCCAGGATTTTTTTTAACTCTTCTGTCGAAAAGGTTTTCTCATTTTTCACGACTTGAATTCTTGAAGTCTGGAGACCAAGCGCTTGAAAAGCGCTAAGAACTCTGCTTATGGCATTTTGAAAGTCTGTGTCAGAGAGGCTACCTTCTGGTTTGTGAGCGAATTGTTCGTTCCTAAAATTTCTCAGATCATCCACATTTTTCTGGACTGTTGTGCTCAGGCCCGGTCCGAGGCAATCAGAGAAAAGAATGGCGTAAAATAGCATTGTGCAGTCCCATTTCCCTGTATCTCCGTTTATCATAGTGGTCAAAAGACGAGCATTCTTCTTTTGGTTTTTTGGGGACTCACCCTTTTTGAAGTCCCTTCCATTCTGAGGCTCGTCTTTCCATATTACTTTGTATTGTTTGGCCCATTCTTGTTTAAAAATTTCTCTCAGACCCTCGGCCATTATATCGGTAGTTACATGACAAATTCTAAAATAGTTTATTTGTTCATCGGTGTAATTTTTTGGAAGGGCCGCCATACTTGATGCGCTTCTGAAGCTTGACCGAGACCTATAAAAGAATAAACCTTTCTGTCAGTGAATTAAAACTCAAGGAGACAATATAATCAATAGATTACATAGTTTCTTACAAGAGATTAAAAATTCCTTACAATTATTTAATTTAAGTCGAATCTCCCTTTGCCTTTCCTCTGTGAACTCCAAACCTGGGAATGGCTAACTGACCACTTAAAACAAGTTGGCTGTTTAATAGACCTGAATCTTAGTAGGACTTACGTAAGGCTATGTTCACACCATAATAACAATAATATAAAACTATCCCCCGAGGGGGAGTTGAATAGTGGTAATATATACTGAGACGCGAAGCGTCGACGTATATATCTCGCGCTGTTCACCGACCCAGAGGGGAATAGTTGTTTTAGTATTTTAAATACCAAATCAGTTCCATAAAATGAGAAAATAACTTTTTTTAAATTAAAAACGTCACTTTGTAGGAACTTTGTTTACAATTTACAAACATTTCGGGGATTTTGCCAAGTGATTTTTACGACTTTTGTTGCAAATTCAGCATGAAAATAATTTTCTGCCTGCCAGTAAACACCGACAAGCCAAAGTTCGTCGCTTTTCTGGTATTTCTTTGTACGACTGCTTCATTTATCGCTCAAATTCCGTCTTCCGAAAATGTCTTGAAACGAGACGCCATCTTGTCTTGTGTCGAAAAACAGTGAATAGCCAAGGATATTCCGGGTTACTGGAGCCAATTAAAACGCGCGAAAATTGCAATTCACTGATTTGGTAAATACTAATAATAATTGCGTTCGAGGTACGAGAACGCAACCCCTAATTTGTGTTGGGTGTTCTATGCATTATTGGGTGCCCTATGCAATTAATAAGGGAGGTTTTTTCGAGATTGCATTTGTCGTCGTCGTCGACACACATTTGCCTCGCTTTGAGGCGCTTGCTTACGTTTTGCCTCACTTTGACGAACTAACTCACGTGGTGATTCGTGCGTCCTCAAGCGTTTGCTGAGGTCTTTTATTCTCTCCTCGTAAAGCGTTCATCTTTCAGAAAAGTTTGCTGAATCTTCGTAAAGCGTACATATTTCAAGAGTTTGCTGAAGGTCTACTATCAATCTGTGTTTGCTGAATCTTTCAAAACGTTAATCTTTCAAAAGTTTCGGCGGCCGTTGTGCCACAAAGTAAATCTACCGAGTTGTGTAGCTCGGCGGCCGTTGTGCCACAAAGTAAATCTACCGAGACGTGAAGCTCGGCGGCGCCGTTTCATCATGACTTGTGATATTCTCGGCACCGGACAAACTGACATTTTAGGTCTATGTTATTTAACCGGAAAAACTTATAAACAGCCCACAGTTGCTCCACTCAAGTCACTGAAATCAACACACTTGACCAAACTATTGCACTTATTTCAGGCGGACCATACGATATCACTAGCCATCAAGGCTTTTTCATAATGATACACAGCTTAAATAGAGGTTCGCTGTAAGCAATCTTTACGTTTAAAATATGCCATGATCAAATTAAAGCCCTGTTTCCATATGATCGCTACCATCGCTGCGATGGCTGAGAAAAAAAAAACTTCGGCGATCGCAGCGATCATAGCGATCATATGAAACCACTCTCCAGAGATCGCGGAGACAACAATCGCTGAGATATAAAAAGTTCTATCTCAGCGATCGTTGTCGCTGCGATCGCTGGAGAGTGGTTTCCATATGATCGCTGAACTTTTTTTTCTCAGCGATCGCGGCGATCACAGCGGTCGTAGCCATCATATGGAAACCGGACTTAATCTATCGCAATAACCGTCCACCCTTCCTCCTCAACTGCTACCTGTACGCCTTACAAACATATCGAACGCACTCCTCTAAGCTCCGATTACTCCTAGTTATAAAAGTAAATTATAATTATCATAAAAAATCTCCCAGAATCCTTTGAAGCAATCAGAAGCATCTTACCCCGAAGCGTCTAACTTCCCCTTATCTGTTTAGAACCATGCTGGGGTTTTTGTAGCCGACGCAGCCGTCCAATCAGAAGCGTGGAAATTTTGCCCAAATATGGAATCAGAGAATTCAAGGCTAAAAACTTTGAGCTTGCAACGCTTATACATGTATGTATACGACCGAAAGAAATCGTTTCGTGGCACAAAAGATAAAGTAATTATGCTCCTATAAATTGCAACCCTGGGAAAACAAAAAGAGCCACAAAGTTATAAGCGGTATGGCTTGAACACATCGACCAGCGACGAAGTAAGACTGGACAAGACTGGATGATGCATCTGTAGCCTGTTTCACCGACAAAGATCATCCTCAGGCTACTAGCTGCAAACCTATCTACCACGGCAAACCAGTTATCTGTAACGTCTGTTCTCATTCAGCAAAACCAGCATGGCGACTACAAACAAAATGATATGGCAAGCTGTGCAGAAGCGTTTTACAAGGCGCCGACGAAGTCGGAACGTACCGAAGCTTTTTCTGTGAGTATATATTTTTTAATTCATTCAGAACAGTACACGAACACATGTATGGCAGTTTCGATTAGACGGGTGATGATATATGTAAAAGTGCGAAATTTACCTTCGAGGACTTCGACCTTGTTTCCTTGACGGCGGAGCGCTTGTCCTTTTCTAAACTGCGACCAAGCAACCTTTTTAAAGAATTTTCAGGTAATTTTACAATTTACACATTGTGCTCAAGGAAAGTACGTTATTGAAAGGAAATTTATGTCTTTGTAAATGTTTCATAGACGTTTTACATATTTTTGATAGAGTTTTCAAGAAAAATTGGGAAATGCGCCCGATCTGAGACAGATAATTTTAGTGTTGATTGTTGCCATGTGCTCAGCCGATTTAACTTGTGGGAAGGGATCCACGATCCAGTCAGTGTTACGTGAATTGCTTTTAACGGTAAACTTATGGGTTTCCGAATAAAAATTTGCCAAAAACAATTTGTCTGTGTATTGCTTTCTGTTTGTGAGTTGAAAACATGATCGCCGGCATCTAAGTCTTATTAACTTGCTTTTCATTCTTCTTATTACTCGCGTAACTTTTGCGAAGATGTCAGCGAATTTTATACACTTTTTACTTTCGAGTTCAGCAGCTAGTGAATTTTATTTGAGAATATGTGTTGCTAGTTATTCTAGATAGATAGTAAGTGATTTTTTAAAGGTTATTTGCGCTATTAAATGGCCACGCGAAAACCGTTTTTGAAGTAACAACTTTAAGAGGTCGCTTCTCTTACGGTGCATGCCATTAGTAGTCGACTTTGTCTTGTTGTGAGGAACTAACTTAGTCCTGGTCATTTGGGGATTAACACTGTATTCCGTTTTTCGTCATATATTACCTCGAAAAACAGTAAATGCTTTTTGCAGCGCATCATTTACATCGCGATTCATCGCGATACAAGTTTTCCTATAGTCGCTCATCGGTAATTCCATATTAGGAAGTAAATTTTGATTGGTTCCCTAAAAAAACCCAGTAGGTTATATGCTTCTGGCAATTTTTTTAGAAGCTTTGCAACTTTGACAATTTTATACGTAGAAGACTGTCAGACCACAACAAGAGAACATTTGCTATAAAATATCTTCCCGTGTCACATCTAAGGTAATGACGTCATCAGTCACGTGACTATTTCCGAATTAGGTTTTTTTTTTTGCTGTGACGAGGTTAAAAACAAATAGCATATTTGAGGTTTTAGTTGTGAGAGACATTTAAAAATAACCAGTTGACGTCCGGCATTTAAAACTTTAAGGGACTGTGACACGCTTCTGCGCATGTGCGGCATCTTGATTTCTGTTCTGGCGAACGTTTTTTCAAGATTGGCTTTTGGTGAAGAAATCCACTTCCATCGACCCTGAGACGCCCGAGAAAGCCATAGTATCAGTATTCAAGAGCTATTTGGTCCATTTTGGAAGTTTTAAACGCCATATTTTTTATTTTTGTGAAAGCATTGTCGAGAAAATTCAAAGTCATTGAGGAGAAGTACACGAAGCCATGTTCGTTGTTGTCAGTGTTCTTACAAACGGATCAAGTGTGGCGTGTAATGTGGTCATCTTTCTGCCTATTAAGTTCTCCAGTCAACGATCTACCTTTTTCGGATAGTTCTCAAACGTTAAATATGTAAAAAAAGTTGAAAAGAGTTTCCTTGATACAGCCGTGGACTACTAACAGGACGCAGCGGCGAGTGAAGGTGATCTGCGACATGACTTCCGATTGTCTGCAACAATTTACTCTCTCGAGTGACTGGAATCAGAAGGAGCAAACCCAGCAATCTTTTGTCGTACAGGACGCCGTGTGAAGGAAAGAATCCATCGAACATGAAACGTTTTTACTGTCATTCGATTTATGACTCCGATCCCTAGTTGTTTTTTACCAGAAAGTACATATACTGACAACAGGCCGCGCGATCTTTAGCGAAGTGGTTCACACGGAATGTTTCAGGTTCCTTGTATATATGGTGTATGAGCGTAAATGTTTAAGAATTGATCTTTTAAAAATATATTGTTGCCTGAATGTTCCGTTTAACATCTGGTTTCTTTATGTGTTGAATCGATAACGTTTGTTTTGCGGAACACCCGACAGAACGACTCGGAAGGAAGTTATTGAAATTTATGCCATAGCATTTTACGTTGTTCTTTTAGAATAATCTTTATACTTATACGTTATTTGGCTACTATCACAGTGAAAGCGTTTTATGATGAAGCTGTATTAAAAATTGCTTTTAAACACTGCTACGATGAGCTACAATGTTCATGATGCGGAGTGCTCATCGCACTAGCCGGCCGCATGGCATGGCCTATTTTATTATAGTGTGCATCTAAGCTGACATTTTAAGCAAGACGTTTGCCTCATCCGATACTGTGTGTTTTGGTCACCGGTCAGGCGCTATTTGCAGGTATTTCTAAGTTTATATAGGGCAAACAGAGAGATCAGTAAGGTTTGTTCACAAATTATTTTTGGTTACCGATCCGAGACTGGTATGCTAGCGTAAGTACGTGAAAATACGCGTAGGTAAGTGTTTGTTTCAAAGCAGGACAGGGTTGTTAATCTTATTCTTATCGGCTGCAACATATATCTGAGGAATACCAGAGAATAAATATGAATTAAAGGGATATATAAAATCGAACAAAAACGACTACCGCTTCGCGAACAATGAATCTTCAATTATGTAAATTTCCTTGCGTGCATCTTACTCGCTTCCGATTGGTTCAAAAACAATCGCCTACTGTCAAAGCTCACACATCCGCACTATCGTGACACAGTCCCTTTAAGGAGGTAATGTACATGAGCGAAACAGTCGCGAGAGTATGCCTAGGGCTGTAGAGAGTCAACCTTTTATCACGAGACAGAGAAAATTTGCGGGAAAGTAATGTCCTACGTGACGATTTTTTTCATGACCAAAAGAGGGAGATGACGTTATCAGTCACGTGATCAAAGCGTTTTGAATGCAGTTTAATTCGTTTTTAAAGCACCTTTTTTGTCATAAGTTTTTGCTGTTTTTCTCAACAATTCTTTACACTGTAATTTCTCTGAGTAATTATTTTTCCGTTTTCAAGAGGGTCTCAATGGGGTTAACCGATAGGCGTAAAACGGCCAAAAATTTAGTCGATAGCCGTAAATATTGAAAAATTTTAACCGTTAGCCGTAAATAGGGTAAAAAAGAGTTAACCGTAAAAAAAGTTGTTCCCTAGGATTGCTACTTTTAAGGAAGGTACTAAACTTACTTATGACACTTATGGTTGCGTTTTTTATTTCGTGGCTACTTTCACTCCGTACGCACGTTAGGCCAAGCGCCTTTTAGGTGTTGACCAAGACCTAGGCTCCACTTCCGCGGCTCTCTCGGGGAACTAATTTTTTTCCATAGTGAAAGTGTGGCTTCTTGCTGGGAATTCATATTTGCGATTTTCAGGAGGTCGTACCCTCGACACACAAGTGAAACCACACGCAGAGATGTCACAGTTTGTAAAACACTTTGCCGATAAACAACATTTCCTTGTTTTTCTCTGACACTACGGTAGACATCGCCATGCCCAGTCCCTGTAAGGCGTCT